GGGCTTCAGCCCARCTGGGATGGGAGGAGGTGCCAAATCTGCTGCTGGATAAGCGTGAGCTACATAAGAGTAGGGCACAAGAAATGGCCAGATGAGTGAAGAATCAGGTGTCCTCCATACAGAACTAATGCTTGGAGGCTGGAAGATGGCTGTCTTCTCTCCCTTGCAGATGCAGAGCAAGACCTGGTTGTAGTTGGAAAAGTTTCTTTTAACCCCAAGGATGTGCTGGGCCACGGAGCTGGAGGAACTTTTGTCTTCAGGTGGGTGACACCTGCCCCCCACTCTGCTCCCATTCCCCCTGGGAACCACAGGGACAGCGACAAGGCAGCTCTTGTCCAGGGTGGCGGCCGCTGGTTGAGGGACTTTTGAGAACAACTCGCCACCTACTTCTGGTCCTCATCACAGCCATCGTGTCAGGGCTCATGGCCCTCATTAACCCAGCACTGGGTACGCAGGGCAGGTCCCCCTTACACCTCCTCCCTGCCTGCCTGCACCTGCTCTGGCCTCTCACACTGGCTGAGCCAGGCTCTGGTCAAGCCCCTTCTCCAGTACTCAACACAGTAAAAAGTGAGGGATGCTGTTTCCCTACAAAACTGAGACCCTCCAGTTCCCAGCTTTCACTGGGGAAGATCTCTTCCTGTCGGTGATGTGACAAGGCTTTGGGAGTCACAGCAGAGTGACCCATGCTGAGGACCCCGTGGGTGAGCTCAGCAGTGTCTGGAGTGTGGCCRAGCCATGCCACACACAGACACTCCGGTGACTCTCTGCACAGGGGGCAGTTTGAGGGCCGGAACGTGGCTGTGAAGCGGCTCCTGCCCGAGTGTGTCCATCTGCTTGACCGTGAGGTCCAGCTGCTCCGGGAGTCAGACGAGCACCCGCACGTTGTSCGCTATTTCTGCACTGAGAAGGACCGGCAGTTCCACTACATCGCCATCGAGCTCTGCTCTGCCACGCTGCAGGAGGTGAGCCCCGGGCACRGGGCTGCTGCTGCRGCCAACTGGAGCCCTGGAAACACAAGTTTTGGGCACAAACAGCCTCTGTACAGGCTGTTCTCCATCATCCACCATCACCCTGGGGAGTGGTGTCTTTCCAGCCAGCTTGCCTTTGACCAGAAAATAAGGCTGAGTTCCTCTCTCTCTCCTTCTGTGTGGTTCCAGTATGTGGAAAGCCCCAGTTTCGACCGCTGTGGGCTGGACCCGGTGTCCCTGCTGCGTCAGACCATGTCTGGACTGGCCCATCTCCACTCCCTCAGCATCGGTAAGGGCCAGCAGGCCCTGCTTCATCCAGTCCTCAGCAGATGCTGCAGGGTTTGGGCAGTGTCTGTTGGGGTTTGGGCAGTGTCTGTTGGGGTTTGGGCAGTAGCTGTCAGTGTCAGCAGCACATGTGGCTGTGGCAGAGCCCTCTTTTCTCCAGCCCTGCCAGCTGACACTGCGTACTCTGTTCCAGTCCACCGTGACCTGAAGCCCTGTAACATCCTCATCTCTGTCCCGAATCGCCACGGGCAGATCCGCGCCGTCATCTCCGACTTCGGCCTCTGCAAGAAGCTTCAGGGGGGACGCCAGAGCTTCAGCCTTCGCTCTGGGATCCCTGGCACCGAGGGCTGGATCGCGCCTGAGGTGCTGCAGGAGGCCCCGAAGGAGAACCCTGTCAGTGAGCCATGGCCACCCTCACCCTGGGTGCTCCTTGGGCCCATCGTGGCAGTGTCCCACGTGCTGGCAGTGGCCTCAGATCTTTGCCTGAGGGTCCCCCCATGTTTTGCAGACCAGTGCYGTGGACATCTTCTCAGCTGGGTGTGTCTTCTATTACGTGGTGTCGGGGGGACAGCACCCCTTTGGGGACAGCCTGCGGCGCCAGGCCAACATCCTGGCAGGCTCCTACCAGCTGAGCTGCCTGCAGGAGGAGGCTCACGGTGAGACCCTTCGCTAGTGGTGTGACACCATGGGGAAGCTCTGGGCTGAGGGGCAGCTCCTGGTCTGGAGCAKGGGTGAGTTCTCTGCTGTTTTGTTTCACCCCCAGACAAACTTGTTGCGAGGGAGCTGATTGTGGCAATGATCAGCTCCGAGCCCCAGCACCGGCCCTCGGCCCCTGTGGTCCTTCTGCACCCCTTTTTCTGGAGTCAGGAGAAGCAGCTGCAGTTCTTCCAGGTGAGCCTGTGCTGTCCCACTGGCAGTGAACGCAGGTGTGCACTGAAAAATGTGCAGGAAACTGCTGYGTTTAGGTCAACATGTTCATTGTGAGCTACTTTTAGAAGAGGTGGGGGGTCTCTGGGTCTCTGTCCCACCTCGTGCAGGACAAGGGCAGTGCCATACCCACCCTGTCCCTGTTCTTGGACATGTAGGACGTCAGTGACCGTGTGGAGAAGGAGCCGGCCGAGGGGCCCATCRTCTCGGCCCTGGAATCGGGGGGACGGGCGGTGGTGAGGACCAACTGGAGGATGCACATTTCCCTCCCACTGCAGATGGGTGAGCATGGAGGGGCCAGGCTCATCTTTGGGTCAAGTGAAGCAGGTAGGGACTGGGACTCCAAAGGCTGGTGCTTTTACTGGCCAGGAGCTGAAAAGCAGGGCAGGTAAAGGTGGCAACCCTTCCCTGGGAGGCTGCAGTGGAGCAGAGCTGGGGTTTGCACTGTGGGGCCTGTAGCAGCCCCTCATCCCGATGTGTCCCACCTTGCTCAACATCTCTCCTGCTGTCCCCAGACCTGAGGAAGTTCCGCACCTACAAGGGGGGCTCGGTGCGTGACCTGCTGCGGGCCATGAGGAACAAGGTACRGCCAACCAGCTGCCCTGTGGCCCTGCCACCTCCGCTGTCCTCGTCCTTTCTCACCTCACCCTCTCTCCTGCAGAAACACCACTACCACGAGCTGCCAGCTGATGTTCAGGCGGCCCTGGGCTCCGTCCCTGAAGGCTTTGTGCAGTACTTCACCTCCCGCTTCCCCCGGCTGCTGCTGCACACACATGGGGCCATGCGGGCCTGTGCCCACGAGCGCATCTTCCATTCCTACTACTGCCAGGG